CCCCGTCCCCCTTCCCTCCCTCCCCCGTCCCCTTCCCTCCCTCCCTCCCTCCTCCCTTTCCACCAACACCTTCTCTCCATCAACAGCTTAAAACCCGCCGACCCGACCCTGGGTTCTGTTGACTCTCCATGTCCGAAATACACGTGAACCTCATTCTTTGGCGGTCAGAGGCAATGTGAAGAGCGTGGGTGAGGGTGAGGGTGGGCGTGGAGCGTGGGCGGAAGGGGTGGCGGGAGCGTGGGTGAGTGTGAGGGCGGGCGGAAGAGGTGGGCGGGGAGCGTGGGTGAGCGTGAGGGCGGAAGAGGTGGGCGGGGCTTGTTGCAGGTGGGTTGGGGTGTAGGCGTGGGTGAGCGTGAGGGCGGCGGAAGAGGTGGGCGGGCTTGTTGGAGGTGGGTTGGGGTGTAGGCGTGGGTGAGTGTGAGGGCGGGCGGAAGAGGTGGGCGGGGCTTGTTGGAGGTGGGTTGGGGTGTAGGCGTGGGTGTGGGTGTTTGGGGAAGGCGCGTTGGCGGGTGTTAGGGTGTTGGGAAGGTTGGGGAATGAAGGAGGAAGAGAAATTTGGGAAAGGAGGAGGAGGGAAGGGGTGGAGTTAGGGGAGGAATCTGTGGGTGGGTATGAGAGGGGGCGGGGCAGGAGGGAGGAGTCAAGAGGAGGAATAAAGGGGTGTTGGTTTAGGAGGGGAGAGAGGGAGAAGAAGGGCGTGTCAAAGGGGGGAGGGGAGAAGAAGTGAAGTGTGGGACGAAGGGATTAAAAAAAACACAAGGCGTGGGAAGTAAGATGACAGGAAGAGAGTATAAAAAAAAAAACTAAAAAACTAAAAACGGAAAAAAGAAAAAAAAAAGTGCCTGTGGGTCTCGTACGTGTGGGGAGACGACTGTGGGCGTGGGAAAGAACTCTGGGTGTGGGCGTGTGGAGACGTATCTGGGAATTGTGTGTTCGAGGTCCATGAAGCTGTCACGTGTCTGGAGACCGGCGGGTCGGTCTTGAATACAGCTGGCCATGAATATTTCGGGGTTCGAGTGAAGAGAGAGAGAGAGGAGGAGAGGAGAGGGAGAGAGGGAGGGAGGGAGAGAGAGAGAGAGAGAGAGAGAGAGAGAGAGAGAGAGAGAGAGAGAGAGAGAGAGAGAGAGAGAGAGAGAGAGAGAGAGAGAGAGAGAGAGAGACATAGATAGATAGAGATTGAGAGAGAGAGAGAGAGAGATAGAGAGAGAGAGAGAGAGAGAGAGAGAGAGAGAGAGAGAGAAGGAGACATAGATGGAGAGAGAGTGAGACAGACAGATAGACAGACAAACAGAGGAAGAAGGGAAGGATAAGAAAAGAGAAAGGATATACTTCGTGATACTGGAAAATGCTTACGACTCCCCCTCCCCCCTCCCCCCCCCCTCGCCCCGGATAAAAAGGGAAATATAAGTATAGGTTTGACGTAAAATAAAAGAAGAGAGAGAGAGAGAGAGAGAGAGAGAGAGAGAGAGAGAAGAGAGAGAGAGAGAGAGAGAGAGAGAGAGAGAGAAGAGAGAGAGAGAGAGAGAGAGAGAGAGAGAGAGAGAGAGAGAGAAAAGATATATGAGAATGATAGACATTTTCTTTCTGTCTCCCTTCCTCATTCTTAGATAATGAGGATGAATGATAATCATGAAAGGAAGAATAAGAATAAAAAAGAAAAGAATATATATTTACGCATGATAATACTAAGAAAAAATGTGCTAAGGAGAAATAAAGAAAAAGGAACAAGTAAAGCTTAGAAAGAGAATAAGATAACAAAGAATAAGAAAGAGAAGAGAAGAAAGACGAAAAAGTAGATTAAGAACAAATAGAAAGTGAAGAGAAGAAAACGCAAAAAGAAAATGAATAAATCAATGACTAAATAAAAGAAATCGTCAAATAAGAAAGAAAGAAAAACACATAAAAAGAAAAAAAGAAAACGAAAGAGAAGAAGAATTAATCAAGAAAAGAAAAACGAAAAAACGAAAAAAAGAAAACGAAAGAGAAGAAGAATAAACCAAAAAAAGAAAAACAAACGAAAATTGAAAATCAAGTAAAACGAAAGAGAAGAAGTGTAAAGAAGCAGAGAAAAAGGCTATCGTCTTGATTATCGAGTCATGGCTAGGTAGCCGACTTTATCGCTCCGGCCGCGGTCTTCCTGCCTTAAACACGGGGGCTAAAACTCGCTCTTTCTTTTTTTTTCCGCTCTGACGTCACGAGAGCTGTTGACATCTGCATTTTAGTCAATTTAGCGATTTTTTATTTTATTTTATTTTGATTAAAAAAAAAAATTGTCTGTTATTCTGTTTGTTTTTGGCTATGTTATTCTGTCTGTGTTTAGTTTAGTGTTTTTCTTTTCTTGTGTATGTTCAATTTAATGATGTCTGTGTTACTCTGTTTATGTTTCAGCCTGCCTTAAACACGGGGGCTAAAACTCGCTATTCTTTTTTTCCGCTCTGACGTCACGAGAGCTGTTGACATCTGCATTTTAGTCAATTTAGCGATTTTTTTTTTTTTTTTTTTTTTTTTTTTTTTTTTTGTCTGTTATTCTGTTTATGTTTAATTTAGTTTTATTTTTTTTTGTGTATGTTGTTTATGTTCATTTTAATTGATTTTATTTTTTTTGTGTATGTTACTTTGTTTATGTTCATTTTAGTGATTTTATTTTTTCTGCATATGTTCACTTCAATTATTTCTCTCTCTTTTTTGTCTATGTTACTCTGCTTTTGTTCAATTTAGCGATCTTTTCTCTATATTCTCTTCTTATGTTTTTTTTTTTGTGTGTGTTTATTGAGTTTTTCTTTCGTTTTGGTGTTTTTTTTGTGGTCTCTTGACTTAGAAGTTTAAATTTTTATTTAGTCAGATTCGGATGTTAATTTTGGATATTCAGGGGATTTGGAATACACACACACGTATACATACAAACACACACAACACAACACACACACACACACACACACACACACACACACACACACACACACACACACACACACACACACACACACACACACTACACATATATATATATATATATATATATATATATATATATATATATATATATATATATATATATATATATATATATATATAACTGGCGGTAAGTCATGTTCTAATCGTGATGTTTAATGCGTTTGAAGTTATTTATATATACCAGAATAGAAAACATCTAATTAACATTTGTCTCATGTCCTGAACTAATCCTTTTATATTTACGGATTAATAAAAAAATGCAACTTTTCCAAAACTTTAAGACTCCCTGAAGTAAACATATCTCTCGCGTGCATGGAATCAATGACTTAGTTTATAGGCATCGACCCAGCGGCAAAATATATCCTAAAAATATCCTACTGTTAACCTCCCACCACCCCACACCCACCCCACCCCTCCTCTGTCGCCAATGCATCCTCTCCTACTCCAGCCCCCCCCCCCTCCCCACCTCTGAACCACTCCCTTCCATTCCCCCACTCCTATCCCCCTTGCTCCTCCCCCCTACACTCCACCCCCTTCCCCAACCCCCTCCCTATCACGAGGCCCCTCTCTCCACCTCCCACTCCCACCTTCGCTCTTTTCCCTACTTCCCCCTCCTTCTTCCCCTCTCCCGCTCCTCCTCCACACCTCCTTCCCCCCCCTCACCCTACTCTTTCCCCTGCCTCCATCCACACCTCCTTCATACCCCTTCCCCCTTACACCTCCCCCTCCCCCCCCACCATCCCCCCCCCCCACCGCAGAAGAAGTGGCTTAACCAATAGTGTATTTCATTCATGTCTGCAGCGTCGTGGGCGGCGTGGCGACGCCCACCACCCGAGCGAGGCCTCCGCTCCCAACGCCAACGCAGACGACCCACACGCATTGCACGACACAGCCGCTTCCTTTGCACTCCGCACAGCATTGCACGCCAGAGCCAGCATATGCACACACCAGCATATGCACACACGAGCATATGCACACACGAGCCAGCATATGCACACACGAGCCAGCATATGCACACACGAGCCAGCATATGCACATATGCACACACGAGCCAGCATATGCACACACGAGCCAGCATATGCACACACACGAGCAGCACGCGGGGCGGGTCGATGCTGCTCACGGACACTTAACTGAGCGGTGAATGCAGGAATGCGTGACGAGGCGACTGCAAACAGCTGCGGAGATGGACGGACATACGCGGAGAAAGCTGACGCACGGAGACGGATGTACACAGATTATGTACACAGGCGATTACGCACACGAAGACGCACGGAGACGGATGTACATTATACGCACACGAAGACGCACGGAGACGGATGTACACAGTGTACACAGGCGATCATACGCACACGAAGACGCACGAGACGGATGTACACGAGAAGACGCACGGAGACGGATGTACACAGGCGATCATACGCACACGACGCACGGAGACGGATGTACACAGGCGATCATACGCACACGAAGACGCACGGAGACGGATGTACACAGGCGATCTACGCACACGAAGACGCACGGAGACGGATGTACACGATCATACGCACACGCGGATGTACTACGCACACGAAGACGCACGGAGACGGATGTACACAGGCGATCATACGCACACGAAGACGCACGGAGACGGATGTACACAGGCGATTATACGCACACGAAGACGCACGGAGACGGATGTACACAGGCGATTATACGCACACGAAGACGCACGGAGACGGATGTACACAGGCGATCATACGCACACGAAGACGCACGGAGACGGATGTACACAGGCGATCATACGCACACCGAAGACGCACGGAGACGGATGTACACAGGCGATCATACGCACACGAAGACGCACGGAGACGGATGTACACAGGCGATCATACGCACACGAAGACGCACGGAGACGGATGTACACAGGCGATCATACGCACACGAAGACGCACGGAGACGGATGTACACAGGCGATCATACGCACACGGAGACGGATGTACACAGGCGATCATACGTTACACAGGCGAGTTGTACACAGGAGCACACGAAGGCGCACGGAGACGGAT